TTTATCGTTTTTTAAGAGCAAATAAAATGTATTTACATATTATAAAATAAAAAAATAATTAATAATAATTAGCAATAAAACCTTAAAAACCCTTAACAACTCAACACATTTCCATGATTACCTGTTATACAAAAACTTAACTTGATTTTGCAATAAAGACCTGTTATAAATCATCTTATTTTTATCCCTTAATATTATTCGAAAGAATTTCATCAAATAAATTCCCCAAGCCACATATTTCCCACCCAAAGTCTTTATTTTATGCAAATGTAAATTGTCAACCCTCGCGGAGTGAAAAATGTCAATAAGTTGCAGACAAATTGTAGCTATCTCACTCGCCCTCCCAAAGGCGACCAATTCGGATTCGCAAACACATTGCGCATACGCCACGATGGTCGCTATATATCTGCAGGCATCTGCAGGGTGTGTGGGACGACTGCAATTGTTGCCTTTGATTTGAGAATTTGCTAAACACTGAGAGCTGATTATGCGGGCGAATAATTGATAAGTGCTTAGGAATTTATTGAGCTTTTGTTAAAGATTTTAGGTACTCATAGAGATTACTTGGTAAATATAAGGAAAAATTATGGGAAATTGATATAAAAACTAGGTATTATGTCTTAAGTTAAATTAGGTTGCAGGGTTAGGCTCAAGAGATATTTTCAAGAATTTTAATAATTTAATTTATACAGCAGCAGGCCCCAATTTGATGTTTTCTGAGCTTTTTAATATAAGAAGAGTTACTTTAGAAGCTCTTTAGAGCACAAAAATAATTTTAAATTATTTTACAGTTATTAAAAACAACCCTTTAACAGTCTCAGGACGTGATAAATTTTATAAAGAATCTTTAATTAAGATAGAGCAGAATTCTTGCATTTTCCTTTTTGGTCAAGATATTTGCGGTATTGCATTTGGCTGCCGCCAACTTTTCTGCTAATTGCTCGCCGCGCTAATGACTCTAAGCTGCTGGCTGCTGGCTGGATTCCGGATGCTGGCCACTAACTACCGACCACGCCCCCATCGAGCACCGAGGACCACTCGCCAACTGCCATTTGCGGCAACTAAGCGCAATTAATTAACAAACCCGAGCGAAAAAGGGACAAGGAATAGAAAAAATTTATACAAAATGTTGGTACTTCATAATGCCGCATGGCGGTCGTGTCCCCACGCTCACGGCGAGTTGGCTAAAGAAAATGCAGCTTAATGCTGAATTAATTCCAATTACCACATCCTGATGCCCGCTGCCTGGTCCCATCCTCTGGCCGGGATCCTTGACCATCGGCACTCGGCAGCTGGCCAGTAATTTAGCCGCTAATGCGCGGAGTGCGGCCAACAAAAGCCAGCCGCACGCGCTGACCTCCAGCGAAGGGACACGGCGGAAAAAAGGTTTGAATTAAAAATATTCCTTAGATTTTGTACTGGAATATATGCCTTTATATTAATTTTCAAAATTTTTAATCATTTTCCACATAGTTTTTCTCGCACTGCAGTCGCTGCTCACCATTGCCATGGCCTTTTGTGTGAGGTTTCAACATGAATTTATTTTATATAAAAATTTTCCGCCTTTTTTTCCGCCCTGGTCATCGGTCACTTGTTTGGCTTTGAGATGAATCACTAATTAATTATTAATTAAGTTGGAAAAATAGTCCCCTCCTGACCCCTCCCGCTCCTCTCTTTGCCTTTCAGTTTTGAAACTTTTGAAAGTATTCCAATTTTCTAGCATTTTTCTCTTCTACGCAGAAGTTATGCCTGGCGGAAGGAAAACTTTTGTGCAGAACGGGAAAAACTTTTGGCACAATGTGTCGCCTACCAGAGACGGCCAGGCCACGCCCCCCTCTATTTTCCAGTTTTACTAGATTTTTTATTATTTCGCAGAGAGCGAAAAGTTTTTACTGTCGCATTTCTCCAACTCCAGAGCAGACTCCGGGGAACTGGGCACTAAAATGCAGGCTTTCAGTGAAAGAAAACCCCATCGTTAGCAGGGATATAAAGGCAAGGCTGGCTGCTGCTTAAACAAAAAGCACGTGTCCTGCAGCTCCTTTCATGGAGAACGGAGGAACTGACCTTCCGACGCGGACACTGGCCATGTGCAAATTGTAAACTGCAAGAACACACTCATGTCCATGTGCAAAAAAAAACAGGAGAAAAACGAACGGAAAACACAAGAGAGCGCTGCTCAGAAAAGCGCAAACATTTATATTTAATTGGTGGTTTTTGTGGCCGAGAAGTGGCAGTGGCCAGTGGCCCACCACCCCGCCACCCTGCACCCCGTGGCCTTGTGTCTACCCAATTGAGTTTCAAAGTTGCAATTAGAGCAGCTTCACTGAGCGACTGCCCAGATTTTCACAGGGCTATATGGGTAGATGTATAAATGGTTGAGTGGATGCACAGGGAAATAAAGTTAGTGAATATTTTGAATGATTTTTTAAACTATATAATCAAAGAAAAAAATATAGAAATAATAAAACAAAAAATTAAGAGCTTTAATAGAAATCTAAGAATGAATTCGACTTATTTTTGGTAAAAAATGTTACTAAATAAGTCCCATTCCCTTATTATCATTATTTTCTTGCTGTGTTTAGGTGGGCAGGTGGCCCAGGTGAATTGCTGAATTGGTGGCTGCATACAATGGAAACAGTTGAGATTGGGGCAGTGATGCAGTGACGAGGAGGGAGCAAGGACTTCAGGGGAACGGAGAAAAGGAACCCCAGGGGCAGAAACAATGCACATTCAAAAGAAACAAGTCGCAGACCATTAAACTCGAATAGAATTTCGGACCGGAGAACATTCAAGAGCAAACTGTTTTTACAAAATACAGAATAGGAAATATGTATATTTGGAACGAAAGAGAGGGTACAGTGGAGTAAATTAAATAGGAATATAGGAAAGGGAAAGGGTTTTCTCTTTTTAAAAGATTTCTAGAAGGTAAATAACTTTAATTGGAATATTTCAGAATACTTTATAAATGAAATGTATTAAGACAATACATAAAATTTAGGTTTATTTAATTAATCAATTACTTTTAACTAGTTCTTATCACTATAGATTTTTTGTTTAGTTTTTAGCTTGTTTTTCCTTAACAATACCCCTAAAATCAAAGGTTTTCCAGCCCCACCATTCCCTGTTCTCCTCCCTTCAGGTATTTCAATTCATTTCTTGTGGGTTTTTGTGGCTGGCAAGCTCTTTGAAACTAAGTACGTAATGCTGCAATGCAAACTAACTAACGCAATCCGAATCCGGAGCAAAAGAGAACTAAATGGAAATGAAAAACCAAATTCAATTTTACCCATTGCCTTTGACACGCCACCTTTTATTGTTGTAGGTGGTTCGAGGCAAGTGTGCCAAGTGTTTGGGGCTGCACATCAAAAAAAAAATGGCTAAAAGCAATTTATTTATATTATGTATTTATTAATTAATTAGTTATATGTTGTCCCAATTTATAAAACATTTTTATAAGATGTCTAGGAATTTCCTTTCTTATAAAACTTCCTGCTGAAACAAGTGCGGCTTATGAGAAGGTAGGTTTATTTGGTAATATAACAAATATTTTCTATTTAATGTTAATTTTAAATTAAAAGAGTTTAAATACTCGAAAAAACCCTAGTTATATTAGAAAAAATACAACAAACTGAACATTATGCTAACAAAAGGCAGAAGTATCTTCTAAACTCTATCTAAAAACAACCTTCTTTATTAATTTATTGCCAACTGACTTTAACCTTAAGTTTAATATATATTTGACAAGTTCTTGGATTTATGGATTTGTTTATATTTTAAAATATTAAAAATTATTTCCTGTACTGCTGCACGACTGATGGCTTGGCTCCACCACACTGAATGGCGAATGCGAATGCAATGAAGCTGACTCGTCGATGCCGACTCGATGACGATTTCTTTACACGACATTTAATTGAGAAATAATAGAATAGGTCGTGTCAAGTGTTTGTTTGGCGTTTTGGCTGGCTGAGGTCTGAGCTCTCAGCTCTAAGCCATGAGCTTTGGGATGTGAAATCTGGGAGGGCATATCGATGGGCTGCCAGCCAAATTAGCTTTGTCAAAACGCGGCTGACACGGACGCGGGGCTGTTGAGTGGCGCGGAAAAGTCTATTGCAGCGTGAAAACGCCACACGAGTCGGGCGGGTCGCATGGAGTCTCAACTGTTTAATGAAGTAGTCACAGTCGGCGGTGAAAGTCGAAGGGCCTTCGCTCGAAAAAAACAATGCCACAGCCACAGAGTCAAAGGAAAGGTGCAAAAAATACACACACACAAAACACAAGTTCACGTGTGATTGGAATGTTTAATAAATCGTCCTGCGAATTTGGGTTGAGTGAGGGGGGTGAGCAGGTCTTGGTGCAGTCAGCCGAGCACTTATAATTGCAGTTGCAGTTTGCCAAATTGCATTGTCGCCTGCCGCACAGAAAAAAGGAATACGACTTTGAGTTGCCCAGAAGGTGTGGGAATTAATCGGGCAGAAAATAATCGAGGGATTGCAGAGCTTGGGAGTTGTGGTTAAATTATAAATATCTTCAGTTATTAAATGAAATTAAACCAAATTTTCCAAGCTTCTATACTTATATATACTTTTCACTTATTTTTTATATAATACAATCAAAAAATAATGTTTTTTGAAAACTTAATCCAAATTTAAGACTCAAAACAACCAAAGAAAAATAACTCCAGTCATGCTACGCACTAAAAAGTTATTTCTTGATTTATATCTTTATATCTTAAAAGCAAACGTGACTCCTCGTCATAATTGCCATACCATTCATGAACTTGAACTCAGGCCCTGGTGCAGGTGTACTGGAATTATGGCTATTTTTAATGTGGAGAAGCTGGAAAGTTCCTCGCACATTACGTCAGTCGCCGACCTGATGTCGCTCCAGGTAAACTATATATGTTAGAATCATTTTCCATGAATTCTAGGTCGCCTGCCGAGAACTGGTTTTGCAAATGGGACTATTCGTTTTTCTATAAAAAGAGAAGTGCCTTTCGGTCTGAGCTTCATTTCTCAGTCGGAAGCAGAATGAATTACTCAAAACTGGATTATATTCGCTGGATGAGCTGCATCCTCCTGCTACTGCTGGTGGCCATTACAGCCGAGGCAGCTTCATTGTGGCAACTGCCCAAGCAGGAGCAAGTCTACAAAGATTTGGGTATGTGCCGGCAGGCTACCCAAGACGAGGAGGCAGCCACTCTGAGGTGTTTGGTTAAGTCCCTGGGCCTCTGGACCGACGATAGTGGCTACCAGGCGAGGCGCATAGCCAAGATCTTTGCAGGGCACAACCAAATGGAGGAACTGATGCTGGTGGTGAACTACTGCAACCGGAGGGAAGAGCAGAGGACTCAACCGGATGAGTGGGCTTTAAGGGCCTACAGGTGTGCCACTTCCGGTAGATTCGGACATTGGGTCAGGGATTTCATGAAGCCAAAGGGGGAAGTAAATTAGTTGTATTTTATACTTAATTCCTAATGTTAATTTTAGTATATTTAATAGAAAAATAAATGGTATTTGTAAAAAAAAAATAAACCAGAAAACCAACTGAAAATTTGTTTAAAAACACATAAGCATTTTAGAATATTCCAGTTGGCGGGTTTAGTGTGCCCGCAGTTGTTTGCGATGAAAAACTCAGAGATCGGAAAATCCCAGGAACAGGGCGCGCTTTCGTGGCGTCTGGGCACACTCGAACGCGAAACCCTCAGATCGCCCGATCTGGCACTTTTGGTCGCTGGGACCGAAAAGTCTGGCAACACTGGTCCACAGTGGCGCCCCTGCCTTGCCAGTCACTGCCGCCATCTATGTCTGGCCAATAATAAGGTCTGGCGCCCTCCGGGCTTGAAATCCTTCGGAAAAACCGTTTTATTTTAAACTTGAACTTTTGACAATCGATCAGGATGATTCTGGTTCTGGCTGAGGGGCAGGGAATCCCCCCATCACTGTCCCTGGACGCCCCCTAGACCTGGACACTGTGCTGGACCAGGCGCAGGTTGGCGTTCATGAAGCACATGCCGGCGTGGTAGGCCCTGGAGCAGGAATCGGCCTCCTTGGAGTGCGTCTCCGCGCAGTGGGCAATCTTCTGGTGGGTCTCATCGTTGTGATCCACCGTTGAGCCCGCTCCCGAGAGCTGCACATGCACCTTGTGGACATCGAAGCCGTGCTCCGGGTCGTAGAATCCAAACTTCTCGAAGACGCACTCCATGTAGCAGCGGGTGACGGCGTCGTCGGGGTACTGCCACTTCTTGTACTGCTCCACCAGCTCCGCGGAGGCGTGGACCTTCTCGGCGCAAAAGTGGCGATAGGTCACCAGATCGTCGTGGCTCTTGACCACATAGCTCATGTCGTGGTGGCCGTGCTCATGGTCGGCCCACACACAGGCGGGGATCAGGACGAGGACGAGGAGGAACTTCATCTTTGCTCTGGCACAAACAGCTGCAAACTGCATTTGGCTTCGGGCTCTGCATTGGTATTTATAGGGCGACGAGACTGCATTCCGTCCTAATCTTCGAATCGAATTAACCTGCTGCCAGGTGACTGACTGACCGCCACGATTGTCCTTATCGGGGGTCAGGGGGTCGCAACGAGCACCTGCTCAGCGACCGACCGACTGACTCACGGCTTATCACAGAAAAGTAATGAGACTTTGAGCAAATTCCAATCTCATTTCAATTCAAATTATTGATGGAATTTCGAGTAATCTATGGAGTGCAGTGGCACCACCTGCAGACAGCTCACAACAACAACGTACAGTGGATAAATTAAGCCAATAATCGTGTCCAAGTCATCAAATTAAGCTAATATCAACCATAGACAGCTCCATTACCTATCAAAAGCACACAATACTTAACATAATCATCCAGGTAATAGCTACTCGTCATTCCTCCATTTAGTTTGTGCCAATCAAAAAACACAAAACCCGAAATAAACAAAAGGGAAAGCGAAAGTTCAGTCGTAAATCTAGAAGACAACGCGGCAGGAGGTCTCGAACCGCCCACCAGCAGCAACAACAAACAATCTCAGCAGATCTTCAAACGCTCAGGTTTGACCCCAAGAGGGCCAAGTCGACTGGCATGGCAGGGCATAAGGGCATCCAGTGGACTGGAGACATGGAAGATGTGGGTGAGGACCTGGCCGCTTCGGATTGGATCAGCTACGACCTGACACTTATCACCTCTGACAGTGAACGTGACGGCGGCGAATAGAAACAAGCTATCATTCAGAGGAAAACTGGGTTTTTACACTCAAAAAAAGAAGTTTAAGAGAGTTGAAATTTAATTTAATTTAAGCTTTAATTGGAGCTTAGTCAAGTTATATTATGTATTAAGTATAAATCAAATAAAACGATTAAGTTTAACCTTCTTTATAATAATTTAATTAAATATAAATTGTGTTCCTTAGTTTATAACTATGTTTTACGCTTTTAAATTAGTACTTTTTCTTATAGCAACCACTTATTTTTTTAGTGTCTTAACCAGCAACCGTGTGTTCTGAGCCAGAGTTCGCCAAACGAAACGAAAGTGAAACCCGGTTAAAGCCCATTTGTTATGGCCCCGAGAATAAAGACATGTTGTGACCACAACAATTGCATTTCCCGAGAGCTATAGCCACGGCTCTCGTGGAGAGCTGAACAAATTCCTAGAGACCCAGTTGGTGTTCATTGCGCCTCGATTCTACACTTTCGCCCGGTTTATTGCATTCATTAAAGGCCTCGGAGAGCAATTAAATCGAAGCTAATGAAAATGCCTCCTTCAATGGGAAAGCCATTTCGGTTTTGTATTTGTTTGTGTTTTTTGATTCGAAGAGGGAATACCCTGAGACTTGAGAAAAGGGTAGCTCAGAAAGAGTAAAAGATTTACTTTACTTGCAAATCCAGTACTTGATCTCTGGCAAAGACCTACTGCAAGATTAGCCAAAAACTAGGCCAAACTCCCAGAATTTCCTGGCCATTTATGGCCCGAAAGCACATCATGACACCGCCACCACTGAAGCCCATGGAGCGCGCGCGCCCAGCTCTTGCTTGAAGACCAAGTCCAAGTCCCAGTCAAGTCTCAGTCTCTGCCGAGTTCCCCATAAAGAAACGCGCGTGCGCAGCGGCAGAAAGAGTCAGTTGGTCGTCGGCAGCCTCCGCGTAGAGTCACAACAGTTCCAGAGTCACCGAGTCGTGCTCCGGTCCGTCAAGGAGCATTTTGCATGTTTATTTGTATTTTTCATTATTTATAAAGCAACTTGTTTTCAAAGTCATTACGTGTCGTGCAGCCGCCAATTGTGAATTCTTAAAGAGCAAGTGCAAGTGCAATTGCAGACAATATATATTTATATTTTTTGGGGCTTTTCGGGAGCTTCCTCAGTGCACTCATCACCACCACCTGGTCTGCATACGAAATCCGGAGGAAATCCATAAACAAGGGCAGCCACTATGCAAATGGAAAAGGTAAGCGAGCGGCGGCGGCTGATCGATGCCTTTGAACGCCCACACAACCCCCCTCCAGCCCAGCACTTTCACTTTCCGTCATAATCTAAGATTCAGATTTAGGTTCAGACTCCAGGTTTAAGGTTACAGCGGCTAGCATTAATTGCCTTTGAACGGGTCTTAGCCATGAATGCGACTGGCGACTGAGTCAGCGTCTAAGCCAGCTCAACAACTGGCCAAATGCAGGCAACTAAAAGTCAGGCAAGCCCAGCTCATGGCTCATAGCTCTTGACTTTATGGCCAGAAGTCTGCTGGCTAGAAGCAGTGGCTATTCTAATGAGTTGAAAGGAAAAATCAAATGCTTGAATGCAGAGTTAAATACTCTAGGAATGGCGAGTAGTTAACAAGAATATAAATGATTAGTTTGGTAATGAAAATATTTAAAATGAATGAAGAAAAAAGAAGCTCAAAGCATTTGATATATATATTGCTTCTAGTGTTACTCCTCTGAAAACAAATATTCAAGTTAAATAATGAAATCGTTTATATAAATTTTACTGAGACCTGATTTTCATGATTTCTAGTTCACTTTATAGTTTCAACACAATTACTAAGTACTTCTAATGTGTGCTAACTAATGCCATTAATTTATAAATTACAACAATTAAGTAATTAAAAATGTGTGGAAAGATTGAAGGGATGTGATAGATGTAATAGAAGCTATATTTACAGAAGCTTGTTAGATGAAGAAATTAATAAAACCAGAAGTAAAAGAATAATTTAATTTAATTTCTGCTTTAGAAATGCTTTACACTCTGCCTCTTGCCTATCATCACTACATTAACAGAGAAACATCAGCTCATTAATTTCCTAATTAATAATAAAATGAAAGTAAAAACAATGTCTACAAAAACATTCATTAACAAAACTCACTTTCCTATTTCACATATTTCATTTTCTCAAGAATTTGTACAAAGTAAAAGCCTAAAGAGTAACTTTTCAAGAACCCCCCTGGCCAGGTCATTTCAGTTAATTTCTCAGTCAAAGCCCATTGACTCACATGACCGACCACCCACCCAATCGAGATGTGACTCTCGATTTCTTGGCGGGCCTATGGGAAACACCCATGGCCAAGATCCAAGATCCAAGACCAAAGACCGAAGATCAAACTATTCGAACTATCACTTTTAACGCAAACACATTACAATGGCACTCGAGTTGGCCCAATTTTCGACAAAGTGGAGTGGAGCTGCACTCCGGCACTTGATCAATCTCGGCCCGATGCCGATCATTACGATTATTGTCTGGCGGTGGTGGTGGTTGTTGCTTGCCGATTCCACTCAATTCAATTTGAATCGCTTGGCGTCGATTTAATTTCACTGAAATCGAAAACGAAGCTAGAAAACAGAAAAGGAAAAGCGTTGAAAATTGCTCTGGCAATGGAGATCATGATGGGGGTATCGAGTGGGTGGAGTGTCTGAGTGGCCCGAGGAAAGTCAAAGTGAAATGCGCATGGGAAAGCAAGGCAAATTGCCAGTCAGTCTCAGTCTCAGCCTCAGCCTCAGTCAGGGCAGCCAAGCCCAGCTCTGGGTAATCCGAGTGATCCAACTGGGCCACTTGGGGATCAAGATCAGAAAAACGCGGTCACAGTTCCGCGGATCGCTCCACTGCATTTGCATGCTCTAGTACCACGAAGAGACCTCGTCTAACCGGACCTAGAGGCTCCATATCCATATCTTTGGCTTGAACCTATACACTGAAAACTAACAAAATCTTTACCTAAAATTAAATTAATTTTAATGAATTTCTCTACCTTCTTTATATTTTTAATTCTACAAATAATTAAAGAATTTTAAACATTTTTTCCCTTAGTGTATGTAAAGCTACGTATATTCCCCCGTCCGGTTTGAACTCCGGCCATACGTAATCCAATTAAAGGAACAATCTACATTTCAATTCAAAACTAATGAAGTGTAGAGAATTCGCAACAAAGGCTGACATGTGTTGATTGTTTCGCCCAACGCCGGCGACTGACTGCAGCCCCCATTTGAAAGTATCTTTTGAGTTTCTTCTGGTCGCTCGATCCGAGCAGCTCCCATTAGTAACGAGCCACGGCTTCCCTGTAGAGCAGCTACCAACTTCCGTCAAGAAACGCCAGCACAATTGTGCGTAGTCCAAACAATCCATTGATTGATTGTCGATCGATATGGCGATCAATTAAACAGATTACGATTTTCATTGAACCAAAGATACATTTGTATCTATGTTTAGGGCGACAAATACCAGGGACAGCTGTCAATGGAAAACTGTAGCTCCGAATTCTGATTTTATTCTTACAGCGAACGCTTTTGGTTCTGCTGCTGGGCTTGGTCGTGGCTTTGCTGGCGGATTCCTCGCTTGCCGCCAGGCGTCTGCGAAAGAAGCCCAAGGTCTACAATGCCCTGATCACGACGGACGACAATCTGACCTCCAGCCGGGCCTATCCGGTCATCCAACCCACGATCCATGAGCCTGGGTATGCTCCCTTTGGACCCTACAATCCCTATGGCTTCTACAGTCCGCCGCTGGTGAGATTCGGCCAGCCAATTGTGCCGGGTTTGATGCCAAATGAGAGGGTAAGTTGTTTGATTGAAATCTGGGAAGTGGAACTACAAATTAACCATTAAATATTGCTTATAGAAATAAGATTTTAAACCCTATAATTTAAATGTATATTTTTTTGGGTCAACTTTAAATGCTTTTAAATACAATTTAGTACTATGAATAATGGTTCTTTCTTAGATATTAAAATTTAACCTTATTTTTCGAATAGCATTTAACTAAACTCTAATACTGTGGAAGTTAAATGAAATACTTTTTTAATTTACGAGTTATTAGAGTGCACTTTTAAAGCTATTAAAGTTATTAAAGTTAAGTTAATTATTAAGTGAACAAAATTATATTTTTTTAAATAATAACCATTTTCTCTTTCCAGTTGCCGTATCCCCTGCCCACTTCCTCGCAATATCCCTCGGGCTTTGCCCCCTATGAACCCCAGCAACCTGCAGAAGCCCCTGTGCAGGAACAGCAGCCTCTGCCACAGGCGCCACCCGGTAACCTGGAGCCCAAAGAAATGCCCAAGGAGCAGATGATGCCACTGCCCCTCAACCAACAGGGTTTGCCTCCCGTGCTCATCCCCCTCCCATCACATTTTCGAGGACAACCCATGCACCTGCCTCCATATCCGTACAGCCAGTATCCAGTGATCTACGACCAAGCGGGATATATACGCCAGAACTACCTGCCGCCCTACGACTACTATCCCAGCCAGGGTTACCCAACAGCAGCTCCGCCTGCCGCACCCCCGACAGAGGAGGAACAGCCACAAATACAGCCTCAGATTCAGCCTCAAATTCAGCCTCAGACTCAGCCCCAAATTCAGCCACTTCCCCTGGATAACCTGGAGCCAGCAAAGCCCAGTTTCGAGGACATACGCAACGGATCGTCAAGCAAAAACAGCGCCGTTCCGGATGTCCCGCCGCCACCAATACCATCTGGACCGAAGCGCCCAAGACCAGCGGATCCGGACAACTGATACACCCGGATAAATCCGGTCACTCAGCCGCCTCCACAAACACGTATTTATTACCATTTCGCTTAAGCATAATAATATCGATTCCGAAGCATTTGTACAATGTGTCGCTAAGTAAGAGTTCATTCAGAGATAACGAAATAAATATTAAAAAAAAATAAATAAAATAGCGGTGAATGAACTTGGAGAGGAGGGCTCCATGGCAGTTCCCTGAGGGCTTTCCTCTGGGAATTATCTGGGTTTATCTGCCGGTTTAAGGGGCCTATATAAATGCAATGGGAGTTGCTGTGCAAAGTTACAGTTGGCACTGAAAGGGTTACGAAGAATGAAGCTGTCCCTGCTGCTGGTCCTTTGCTGCTGCTGCCTTTTGGGGTTGGGTAAGTGGAGATTTAATTTGTATTCTTGTATATTCTCCTGAATGAAAACTCTTTAAATTCATTTCATTTTCATTTATTTAATATCAAAATATTTTTTCAAGTCCTTGGCGACTCTAAAGTGGTAACCTTACCACCATTCATACGCAGTCGCTATAGTCTGCGTTGGCGTAAGACCACAACCACCACCATGGCCCCGCCGGAAGCCACCACTGCACCGGCCTTGCCAGCCCAGGAGGCAGTGACTCCCAGCGTTTCACCCAGGTTGGCCACCTCCACCGCCAATGTGGATTATGATTATTACGGGAATGGTGAATCCGAAAACATAGTGCACAAGTAAAGGAAAATCTATTTAAAATGACTAACAAACATAACCAGAGCGGTCTAAGGATCCTAAAAAATATGTTAGAGGACATCACCGTACAGCATTTAAATGTATAAAATTATATTCGCAATAAAATAAATAAACTATAACCTTAAAAAAATTATTTAATATGTTGCTAAAATAAAAGTGTTGTTTATATGAAATTAATAATAATATAAAAGACTATTTATAATATAAATTTTATATGTATAAAATAAGTACTTTAATTTTTTTGGCTCCTGCTGAACAGATACTTAAAAACATTTTCAAAAATAAGTACAATATTATAGATTTTTTTTGTCATACGAATTAAGGACAAAATAAAGTCAGGGATAAAAAAAAGAATTTAAAATGTATTTTAAATTGTTTATTATTTGTAAAAATTATTATTATATTAAATATATAGACAGTAGTCCTCTCCAAGTAAGTTTATTTGACACAATTTCTAAAAAACAAACCATAAAAATCCCCTTTAAATTGTAAATTTTAATCTAACGGTCACAAGATTTCCCTGTGACTGTCATTTTGTATAGCAGAAGGTATGCCAGATGAGTTGGCATCCCCACGCCGAACAGCTGTTCACACCGGAAAACAACAACAAAATACACAAAACAACAACAAACTAGTTTTAGAAAAACCAAAAACAAAAATGTTACTAAATATTAAGTGCGCCCAGAATGTGCTTAAGCTAAACTTTGGAAAGGCGGCAGCCAATCTGCTTGCCAATCGCCTCAAATCGGGTTTATCTCACGCCACTGCAGCAACAACAAACGCGAGGAGCCGGGTTAGGTGAGTCAAGGGGGAAAGGCGGGGAGCGGAGAGTGTAGAGTCGAGAAACTGAGCTTTAATTATTCGCGCAGCTCTCCACAAATCTCAGTTCTGTATTCGCCAGCAGCGAAAACAGCAGCAGCAGCAGCAACTGGTGGCAGTTCGGTTCTCCGGAGACTTTACGGCACTCAGAAGAAAGAAACCCCAGCGAAAAAGAGCAAAATGGTGGTAAGTACAATAGGCAGGCAATAGGTAATTGCTCGGATCAAGGGCGAAGCCGAGAAATCGAGAGGTGGCTTATCGCCTGGCGAATATAAGACGCGACCCCAAGGTCCAGCTGTGGAGTTTAAGCATGTGGTTTAATACCCTGTAAGAAGGGAATCACTGATTTAGGGTGCCAGTGAACCTGACTTTAAGTAATAAAGATTAAGAAGAGGCCGTAATACACCCTACACTCTAAGACTTTCACCAAAATAGTTAGTTACAGCTCTTAGAGATCCTATCGAGTGTGCCTTAAAAAAGTTTGACTTTAAAACAAAGTATTATTGAGCAAAATCTCGATTTAAATTTTAAATTTACAGCTTCGCTTACTTGAACCAGTTTCAGCGGCATTTGTGAGTCAAAACACGCGTATATATAGCCTCAAAACTGGAATTTCTATACAAGTCACAGCCTTTAAGGAGAGGAATTCCTCCAAAACAGGCAATTATTATGAGCTAATGAGTTAAATAAGGAGAAAGTATATAATTTTTAGCAAAAATAAAGCCTCTGTCATAAATTCCATCATAATCCTCCATTCTGTTTAGGAAATCAAACTTACATTCTTGATTTCTTGACAACGCAGGTGCGACTAAACGAACAGGAGCGTGCTGAGAAGCTGCAGCCACTACTGGACTGCGGCTGGACCCTGGTCGAGGGCCGCGATGCCATCTTCAAGCAGTACGTCCTCAAGGATTTTAACCAGGCCTTCGCCTTCATGACTGGCGTTGCCCTGCTGGCCGAGAAGATTAACCATCATCCCGAGTGGTTCAACGTCTACAACAAGGTGGACGTCACACTGTCCACACACGACGTTGGAGGCCTTAGTTCGCAGGACATTCGCATGGCCAACTACCTGGAGACCCAGGCCAATTTGTTGAAATAAATGAAATTGTTTGTTGAGTTAGTTAGCTAGTTGTCTTATTTTCTCGGTTTCAGCTCAGCAGAGATTTGCTGAAGATTTGATAGTCGGCTTCTTCGAGCACATCCGGGGAGATCTCATCCTTACCGTAACCGAGCTGCTTGTAGAAGGATATGGACTGCTCGTTGTTGTTGAGCACGGTGAGCATGAGCTTCTCCAGGTGCCAGTGGCGGGCGCAGTCCTCCAGTATTTGCATCATGAACTTGCCCAGGCCTTTTCTTTGGTGAGCCGCCGCCACCTGCATCTCATAGCTGCCGGAAGATTGGTCAACTCTAGCCAGATTGTGGAAATTGTAGTTGTGGGTCTTACCAGTACAGCACACAGTCGCCGTGATCCATGTCGAAGCGAAACATGGAGTAGGCCACGTTCTCCTTCTTGTCATTCTGGACCACCAAGTAGCGCGCCCAGTTCTTGTTCAGCTCCGCCGCCTTGATCTTCGGCTGCCAGCCCATCTTCAGCTGCTTGTAGAAGGGGCCCACATTGGTCTCGGCCAGTTTGAATGCCCATTTCAGCATCTTGGGATCGGCGTCCGTCTTGGTGCGACACAGCAGCTTAAATTCCTCGCCATTTGGAGCCTTGTAGCACTGATAGCTGAGCGATTCCAGTGGGTTCTTGGCCCTGGCAGCCGTCTCCACGAATCTCTGTTTGGCCCCCTGGCTGAGTTCGTCTTGGTGCGGCATTATTTTGGTGGAAATTGTTCAGCAAAAATTGAAGCGCGCAAATCAGAGATGTCAAAAGTGGTGTCAACAAACAACGATAAACGATAGTGTCTGTATCGATGGAATCATCGATATTTGAAAATAAGTTTTTTGGGGGGGATAAAGTGTGAAAATTGTTGAAATTTATAATAATTTTATTGATTTTTAAGTTTCTTATTCCTAAATGTCTTAGATAACAAATATATGTTTCATACTTTCTTCATAATAAGACCAAGATTTATCGGCCCGATACTATCGGGAAACTGGCATCACTAGTGATAACAGCCGAGTGCCAGTTGTTAAAATTTATTTATTTTAATACACCTTTTTGCATTTACTTAGAGTAAGAATGTATGCCAGACTACTCCGCAACGTTGGAGCCAATGTCAGGTGAGAATACAGGCTCCAGCTGCCGCCAGATGCCATTAGAATCAACAGGTTCCACTTCCAGAACGATTACATAAACTTGTACAATTTGTTTTTGTTTTCTCCCCCCGGTCACAGGTGCTTTGCCACCGAAGCCACCCCCAAGGTGCGGCCCATCAACAAGATCCTGATCTCCAACCGGGGCGAGATCGCCTGCCGTGTGATCCGCACCGCCCGCAAGCTGGGCGTTCGCACTGTGGCCGTGTTTTCCGATCCCGACGAGAAGAGCCTGCACACACAGCTGGCGGATGAGGCGTATCGCGTGGGCGAGGCCGCCTCCTCCGCCTCGTATCTGCGTGGTGAGCACATCTTGAACATTGCCAAGAAATCAGGCGCACAGGCCATCCACCCGGGCTATGGCTTCCTCTCCGAGTCCGTGGAGTTCGCGGAGCTGTGCCAGCGGGAGGGCGTCATCTTTATGGGGCCACCTAGCTCCGCCATCCGAGACATGGGCATCAAGAGCACGAGCAAGGCGATAATGGCTGCTGCCGGAGTGCCCATCATCAACGGCTACCATGGCGAGGATCAGTCCGATGAGTGCCTGCAGAGGGAGGCGCAGATCATTGGCTTTCCGTTGATGATCAAGGCCGTGCGTGGTGGCGGCGGCAAGGGCATGCGAATTGCCGAGAAGCCGGAGGACTTTCTCACCGCCCTGAACTCTGCCCGTACCGAGTCCCAGAAGTCCTTTGGCGACAGCTCCGTGCTGCTGGAGCGCTATGTGCGCTCTCCCCGTCACGTGGAGGTCCAGGTCTTTGCCGATCAGTATGGCGATGCTGTTTACCTGTGGGAACGCGACTGCTCCGTGCAGCGTCGTCACCAGAAGATTATTGAAGAGGCGCCAGCGGTATGTATGGAGATTTAGCCTTAATAGATTCTTCCTTTAACCTTTGTTAATTGCTCAGCCTGGTCTGTCGGAGGAGCTGCGTCGCGAACTGGGCGAGGCCGCTGTCCGAGCTGCCAAGGCCGTGGGCTACGTTGGAGCCGGCACAGTGGAGTTTATTCTGGACAAGGAAGATCTCTCGTTCCACTTCATGGAGATGAACACCCGGCTGCAGGTCGAGCATCCCATCTCCGAGATGATCACAGCCACCGACCTGGTCGAGTGGCAGATTCGCATTGCCGCCGGCGAGCCCCTGCCGCTGAAGCAGTCTGAGATCACCCGCCGTGGCCATGCCTTCGAGGCTCGCATCTATGCCGAGAATCCGAGGGGAGGTTTCCTGCCCGGAGCAGGACCACTGCGTTACCTGTCCACGCCCCAGCCCAGCGCTGAGGTGCGCGTGGAGACCGGTGTCCGCGAGGGCGACGAGGTTTCTGTGCACTATGATCCCATGATAGCCAAGCTGGTGGTGTGGGGCGAGAACCGCTCCCAAGCGCTCAACTCGCTGATTGCTCGACTGGGCGAGTACCATGTAAGTTGATGTCACAATCTTTGCTTTCTGGTTATTACATTTTTATTGATTTTTAGATCTCTGGCTTGGAGACGAACATCAATTTCCTCATCGACCTGGCCTCGCATCCCGAGTTCCAGCTGGCCAACGTACACACGGGCTTTATCGATCAGCACTTTGACACCCTCTTTCCGCCGATTGTGATCAGCCCCCAGCAGGTGGGCCAAGCTGCCCTGGCCCTGGTCTTTAATGAATTGCAGTCGGCCTTCAGCAACAGCAGCGGAGGAAGCCGGGATGCCTTTGCAGCCACACCTAATCTTCGCCTGAATTACGACTTGATCCGGACCTATAACCTAAAGGCCAATGACAAAGGTAAACATTAATTTAGATTATTAATTAGATTGTCTTATACATAACTTATTTTTCATTTAGTTTACTCCGTGGCTGTGAAGTTCAATGGGGAAGATGTTCAAGTTCAGGTGGACAATGGCGTTTGGCAAAAGATCAAAGCAGAAAGAGTCTTAGATGGCGAACGCCTCAAGATCCGTGCCAATATTGATAGCAATATCACCACCTACAATGCCAATATTGATGGAGCCAGTGTGGTCCTGTTCTTGGAGGTAGATTATCCATGAAAAGTTACTGTTTTTCCCTAAATTTATCGTTTTAACAGAGCGGAAAACTGGACTTTGAGCTGGTGCAGCCCAAGTTCTTGAGTGCTCAGGTGGATCAACTGGGAGGAGGTGGCTCCAGGGTGGTGGCACCCATACCTGGAGTTTTGGAGAAGGTCCTGGTGAAGCCAGGTGATCAGGTCAAGAAGGGCGACAGCTTGGCTGTGCTTATTGGTGGGTTTCAACACATTTCTATATTGTTTTATATTTTAAATTTAAATGTTATGCCTTTTTAACAGCCATGAAAATGGAGCACATCCTGAAGGCACCCAAGGATGCCGTCATCAAGTCGATTGGCGGAGCCGAGGGCGACAATGTGGCCAAGGGAGCGGCAGTGATTACATTCGTTGACGAGGAGGTGGCCAAGTAAACTGGGCCAACCCAAGTACCAGGGATTTTGTTGCATTTATCTACAAGTATATAAATATTCGGAATATTTCAACGTCCAGGGATAACCAAGTGCATTTATTAGAGTTAAGCGTCCATTTAATGGAAGAATTATGTTGTTTTTTGTCCCTTTATGGCATTAAAAATGTTAAAACCCTTTCATTTCACAAAGCATACTGAAAAAAGTGAAGTTTTCATTTTCATTTGTTGAATTTTAATGGATGTATAAGATTTATTCAGTTTCTCTCGCACACACGCACACATTTCCTAAATGTGATTCATCGTTTTGAGTTTTGAATCATGAATGAGTACATAAAAAATTTAAAATTGAGTTTCGTACATAATTTAGCGGTGACTTTGGATGTGGTAAACGAAAACGGCAACCGAGAGAATGCTTACAATTCGCTTTTATTATATTAGCAACTTAAAACATAATAATTTAATAAATGTTTAACAAATTTCACTTAATACAAAACACTAATTCAATTAAAAATATATATATATATATGTATGTATACTTGGTATAAACATAATCAAGTTTCTCTCTTTATGCTCTCGTGTTGCTTTAGTCCAGTTTGCTTTTGAGTTTATACTGTTTTCCGCTTTTTGTTTTTATGTTTTTGCTTCGTTTTCGTTTTGATTTAGCATCCCATTAACTTGATTTACGCTGTTGAAATATGATTATGGAAACAGTTTCACATGCAATTTGGTTTCTTTTGCCCTAATTCATACATTCAGCCGATTTTCGTTTCGATTAGTTTTCCCTAGTATATCGTATCCGCATCCTATATCATGTCGTTTTGATTTTTTATTTATTTTTTTGCTATTTTATTTTATTCTTTTCTTTTTCGTTTTCGTTTCGGTTAGTATTAGTAAATGTTGCTCGGCTTCAATACGTAATACATCATTTATATACTATATAAATACAATTATATGGTACTGTAAACGTGCAACTTAACGCATCTTAGTATTTATGAGTGTGTTTCTCTTTGTTTCAAAAGTGTGTGTGTTTTGTGGGTGTGTCTGTGTGTATCTTGTTAAGGTAATTATAAAGTTCGATAACTACTAAACACCTTTGCTGGTACATACATCCCACCTGCTCCCCTTGACTCGTGACTCGCTCCCAGACGTCCTCTAAACCCATTAAGTCTCGTTTTCGACGGCGGGAGCCCCACTACTAGTATAGTAAAACACCTGTTGCTTCCACACCGTTCTCATTGTCAGGCTGCTTTGGTTCACTTAACGCTATATGGATGTTCATCATAAGTTGTTGCTCCTCTCAATCTTTGTTTGTTAATTTGCGATTACATTTTTATTGCAAAGAACTTTTCGTTTGTGGTTTCTTTTCTGTTATTTTTGTTCTCCTCTTTTTTCTCTCGGCTTAAATTAAGTTTTTCTCCGTCGTTGGTGTGGATACTGTGGCAGTTGTTGTCGCCGCTGGGACCTCATCCGCCAATTTAAACTCTGTTGTCTCGCCCGTCGTGTCCTCCTCGTCCTTATTTTCCACTAGCTTTCTTCTCAATATCCTGCGTTGCTTCTGCGAATGCCAAAGGATTTCGATTAGAAAAAGTCTATTTATCATTTTTTAATAGCTATACGGGTGCTACGTCAGCGTCTGCGTGCCAGGTAAGCAGTAATTTGCATTCGAGTGTTTTAAGGACCTCTTTAATCGAGTGTGGGTGTGTCTGTGTGTGTATGATTGTTGTGAGCTGATGAGCTTGAGTGTGTATGTATGTGGCGGTGAGCAGAGAAAGCTTGCAGTGGAAAGTAAAGAAAAAACAAATTTAAACACAGCTACAGCTTCCGGGGGATGATGGCAAGTGCAGCTCGCTTGTGCCGGGGACTGTCAACAGAAGAACTCATCGAAACAAACACAAAGTAAGGCGAGCGGTTGCGCGGTTGATCGGGACTCAAATGAAACAACAACTCTAACTAACTTGGCGGCAAATCAAATCAAGCGGCTTGAGGAACTCTTGCTAATATCACCGCGTAGTGGCTCCTCCTTTGGCTTGGGTTGCTGCTGCTGGGCCTGCTGTTTGTGGGCCTGGAGCTGCTGGTACTTCAACTTGAGCTGCTGCTCCGTGGCCGTTGGTAACTGATGATGGTGGAACAGTACCGGTGGCAGTTTGCCACCCTTGGAGCGACTCCGCAAGCCAGGCTGCGCGTGTGTGAATACAGTTTAAGGGGAGAACAACAACAAGGGGGAATAAACAACATCGGAAGGCCGAAAAAAAACCGTAAGACATTCGTTGTTGATAATTAAAATAAACATATATCATGATAGATATTTTCAAGAGGTTAAATTCAATATTATATCGATTATATCTACCAGTCTTCGGACGGATCTTCGGGAACCGAAGCCAAGGATACCCCTGCAATTGAGAGCGGCTCAGCATTTTCTTAGCCTCTTCAAACTCTTCTCTTAGTTGCAAAGGTATCAAATTCAATCTGGTCAAAGACACAAAGATTTAGAGACGCAGAATTGAAGTTGGAATTGTGTGTATATCGTGTGTTTATTGTGTGTACTGTTTCTGCTCCTGGGGGACTACTTGGCAGGCGACTCTTGAGGGTTCCCTCTCGGCTTCGGACACACTCACAAAGTCCTAAACCCTGTCCTCATCAATTACCTTTTTGGTCGTTATCTCCATCTGATCCAGGCTGTTCGTCAGCCCGTTTATGCTCGTCTCCCCAGCCGTCTCCTGGGCGCTGCTCTCCGTCTCGCTGTTGGCGCCACTGCCCGCCGTCGTCGTGGCTGCTGTGACGCCGCCACTACTGCTACCGGGAGAGCCGGTCGACGTGTAGGCCCCGAAAAGCTGTCGCGACAATCGGGGTATAGCATTGCTATCCACACGAGCTGGCCAGGCGCCTGTCGACGGGCTGCTGGTGGTCTTGTTGTCCGCTGGCTGCTCCGAGCCACCACCACCACCAGTGTTGGCCTCCTGCACGCCTCCCGGCTGAGTTGAAGCCAGGTCAGCCGGCTTATTCTCGTCCATGTTGGACTCCAAATCAGACTCGTTATTCTCGTCCTGATCCTGGCAAGCAGCAGCCTCATCAGTACTCAACTCTTGTGTGGAAAATTTCAGGGTATTACGTACCGTTTTCTCGCTACTCTCATCCGGGCAAAGCTCATAGGCCATGGTCCATGTGTTTTTCGCCGACTGCGAGCGCTCCAACATATAGCCGTTGGTGTTGTCATTGCTCTGCGCCGGCGGCGACCATGAATACGAGTTGTACTGGCAGCCAATGCCCCGCTGACGCTCCAGTTCGTCCTGCAGCCACTCAACGGCGATGCTCCAGTGTCGGCTGATGGCCGGATTTGTGTTGAGCATTTGCAGGGCGATCGGCGACTTGTGGAACAGCTGCGTCAGGCACTTGATGATCTGGTAAGCCCTCTTCTGGTAGTGCGTCTTCGCCCGCTGTATCGTGTCCAGCAGGCCTTCGCGCTCCTCGGCCACTCCGTTGAGGGCATTGTGGATGCGATGGTGCTGCCAAGAGTCATCGATCAGCAGGATGTTCAGCAGCAGGTCTGTGTGGTGGCGCATGTCGTGGCAGTAGGCGAATCCGCATTGCCACAGCAGCTCGGTGAGTACGCCGCGCGAAAAGTGCGGATTCTCCCAGCTGCAGTATTGCAGCAGCTTTAAACCCTCGTCGCCCACATTGGTGTCCTCAATCACCTTTTTGATGTAGCTGCAGAAAAAGGGGTTAAAAATCAATGAGAACCATTTTTCTATACCCTCTCTCGAAGCCTCACTCACCCTGTGCGATTAAAGAGCAGCTCCATACACTCGCTGGACAAAGGCTTCAGCTCCTCGTGGCCCACGGTGGCATCTTTGAAGGGATTGGGCAGCGGGCGGGCGTTCTGATTGGAGCTCTGGCACTTCTCGCTCACATCACTGCAGCGCACCAAATGGGAGACTACCTGATGCAGCTTGCTGAACTCCGGATACTGGTACTTGATGGTTGGCCCAGGACCGTCGTCCAAAGCCACTTGGATGAACTGCAGCGGCACATTGAGCTGCAGAAAAAAACAAAGCCTTTAGTTGGTTCATCAAAAATAGATGAGAATCCTCACTCACCCTCAGCAACTGCTGTTTCTCGCGAGTGCCCAGTCCCACGTACATGCTAAAGAGGCTGAAGTAGTGGGGCAGATGCTTGCCATAGTCGGCTGCCTCCGATTTCAGCAGGCGCAGCACGCTGATGAGCACCTGCTCGCACAGATTGGCGCCATCGTAGCCGGCCAGGGGTTCATCGTTGATGGCAAAGTGACAGAAGAAGACCACCAGCTTGACAAAGACCGTGCGCACCTCCGGCGAGGGAGCCATCAGGATGTACTCGCCCAGCCGTGATGGCGGCGAGAGGAGCGCATGGTTGGCAAACCATTTGCGCACCAGCGCCGAGGAACGTATGTGATGTGAGAGCGTGTCGTACCTGCCAAGAAATTCAAGTTAATTAATGAATAAATGGAATAAAGAAAAAGCGAAACTCCTCTAACAAACTAACCATTCAATGACAGGGCCACGTAGGGACTTCTTCGTGCGGAAACCAGTGTGGAACAGGAACTGCGAGGCCAACTGCACGCCCAGCAACGATAGCTCCTCCGCGGCAGGTGTCTAAAGGAAGTAAGAATACTCAGTTTAAGCTCTGTAATCCTTCAAAAAACTCACAATTTTATCGCTTCGCGCAGAGGGTATATTGCAGCTGACCAGCTTTTTGATAAAGTTGAAGAACTCCACGGAGAAAATGCTACGCGAATGCAGAAACCGTATGTTCTGGTGCCTGGAAAAGGGTTAATTAATGTATTAAAATTGTCTATAAAAGATAATCCCTCATCCAACTCACCGCACACTGCGCTCAATGGGCTTGGGCAGCGGCAGAACCATGTTGCGACTCTCCGTGAGCGACAACTGCTCCACACTGGGCTCGTACTGCACGGGCGTCTGGTCACAGCGGGTGTAGAACAGCATATAGGCGTTCCACCAACGCTTTTGGCGGCGGTACTGCATCCGTTTCAGGTTGTTGTCATAGATCTCGCCCATGTAGTCGCCGCCAAAGCACTGGGCCTTCATCTCCTCGTCCTCGTGCATTTTGCATTCGGTGACCTCGCCATCGTCAAACTTGTACCACTGGCACTTGCCGTTGGCAGGGTTTCTGCAGGGGATTAAAAGAATTAAAAACAATGAGATGGGGATATGATATTGGGGGATAGATATAAGGACTCACTTGGAGAGTATGTAGCTGAAGTAATGGCCCCCGGAGGCCTGCCCGCTGTGCACCACAATGCCAGTCAGTTCGTACTTGGTTGTTTCAACGCTGTTTGTTTGACAATTATCACCCACCTCGACCACCTCGCCCTCAAGCTTGGCTAGGCCAGACACTGCAAGGAAAATAATATATAAAATAATATGGTTGTAAAATGTTTAGCTGCTAGAAGACTCACCTGTGTAGGGCTCCATATCCAGGATACGAGGAAATTCAAAATAATCATTAAATTTAATCGCACAGACGCGCTCGTAGTCGTATTCGAAGCGCTTCAGTTGTATGGCTAACACGGGCGGCAGCTTCTTCACGCAGAGCCGCTTAACGGTAACTACCTGTGGGGATCCAAGGATATATAATAAGTAAGGCAAGACTGGGAAGCCAAGCTAGTACACATTACTTTTTTATCACATTTATCACAATGGTAGGCATCGGCTCCCTCGAGCAGCTCCCCCTTGACATACTGCTCCAGAGATTCGGTTAATGAGCTATGATTCCTAATATCGACACTAAATACACTAAATGGTTCCTCTTTGGAGTAGCGATGGGGGCACTCTTGGCAGATCTTCTGGTCGCTGAAGGATCCGCCCAGCGTGGCATTCATCAGCTGTGGCTGGCCCAAAGCCTTTAGGCCCTCGTCGAGGCTCTCGAAAAGCGACATGAAGAACTCCACGGCATCCTGTTGCTCGCGCAGATTAACCGGCTCCCCTTGCAGCCTTTAAGAGTTGGGATTTAGGTTGGGATCTCATCTATGCTAAGCTTCACTCACTTGAAATGCGTCCAGAGACCCCGCGGCACATAGAACTGAAGAGCACTGTGGCCCAGGTGGGCGAATATGGCCTGGACATGCTTCAGGATCACCACATGGTAGTTCTTGCGCACATCCTGCGACCCATCATCGGAACCCGCACCCGATGACGACGACGAGGAGAAGGAGACTAGGGCAGAGGCGGGTCCGGAGAAGAGGGCCGCTGGTCCCAGACCGCCGCCGCCGCCGCCCGTCAAATCCGAGTCGCCGCTAAAATCCTCGCCATCGGTGGTGCAAGCCCCATGAGCACGCAGGATACCAACTCGCACTGCCGGCACCATGTACAGTTGCTGCAGCACCGAGTTCATGTAGCAGGTGGCACCGGCATTCTTCAGTCCGCAGAAACCTTTAATGGGCCTGGCGCCCACAGGCGGCAGGTAATCCCATTCCCGCAACGGATCCGTGTCTGAAATGATGAGAAGATTAACATAAAATACAAAAACGAAATTAAAATAAAAAGACTCACCCGTGCAGACAAAGTCGATGAGTGTATTGGTGAGTAGCTTCATATTAGGAACACACAGCTGGCACAGGGCTATGAGGAGATCGCAGGCAGCGGCTATGGTGTGCGGACTGCGGCAGACTGGCGGCGGGACAGTGTCCTGCCGGAGGCTGCCCTGCCGCCTTAAATGCAGGAACTCGCGCGAGGCTGTGAAGAGGAAGTCGTCGATCAGCTCGTGGATGAGCTCGTTGAGCTGGGCCTTCGAGTCGGGAACGAGGAAGAACATCAGCTCCTTTGCCAAGCAGAGGTGGCCCTCGAGGAGCTCCTCGTGCACCTGAGTGTCTCCGGTGGCACGGACATTTTCCCGTATGCGCTGCAGCCACTTGATCTCGTCGCCCAGCAGTCCCTCGCCGATCTGCAACGGCCAGTTGTAGATGCAGCCGTAGGACAGCGTGCGGCATAGAACCGAGAAGAACTCGGAGCAGGTGGCCTCGTACTGCGGGACCAACGTCTTCAGGGCACCCACCAGAAGGTTGACCATGTAAACGAATGGGCGCCGATCGCCGGCGCAGTAGGTGGACGCCAGGAACAGCTGCTCCGACGCCACCTGCCGCACATGGCGATACGGATTCTTTAGCACAATGGAGGTGATGAACTTGGGCCAGTTGCTGTCGCTGCTTAACGCCTCATTGGCACTCGGATTCAGGATGAACGAGATGGTGAGCACCTCGAGCGCCTCCTTGCACATGCTAAAGTCCTGGCCGTCCGGCACAATCACATCATCCTCGAAGCCTTCGCCGCTGCTGCTGCTGCTGCTGCCCAAAGCCTGCAGGTTGCCGCAGGACGAGGCCCAGGCCAGCTGCACCACCGCCTTGATGGTGGAGATGTCCGGGCAGGACCACTGCAGCATCGAGCTGAACAGGGTGCGGCAGCGGTCGCCCTCTTGGGTGGCGGACAGCATCTCGCGAGCCAAAATCACGGCCAACTTGGCGGAAATAGCCCGCAGCGTGCCCTGTGAGCTGTTGGGCATCGTCGAAAAGTTCTGCTTGAGGATGTCCACCTGGGAGCGGGCTCCGTTGTCCAGGTCACAGATCATGGGCTCATCGCCGACGCGCGACAACACGCTGCCCACAATGTAGAGGAACAACTTGGCCAGTCGCAGGACGCACTGAAAGGAGGCACGCTTCGTATGCATATCGGCGCTGGGCAGGAAATTGTTCTTGGTGAGCAGCTCCAGCACAAAGTGGGCGCAGCCCGAGTGCATCCACGCCGACTGCACCTGCAGCGCCGGCTCGCCCAGCGGTTCCAAGGCGGGAATCAGCAGTCCGTGCAGCACGCTCAAATTGTACAGCACCTGGGCGGGCGTTGGGTGCAGGAACATCTGCTCCGGCGTGCAGTTACTCTCCTCCTCAGCCTCACTGGCAACCGGCGGCTGCTCAATGGAGTTCAGTTTATCTCCCTCCTCTTTGGGGGCCACCGCAGCTGCTCCTGTTATCGCCGTCTTGGGCACTTTGCACATCAACTGGAGCTGGCGCATCGTCTGGCGGTCGCAGGGTAGCAGGTGCAGGAGGATCTTGGCACTCTCGCGCAGGCGGCCGTGCTCCAAGTCGCTGCCCAGCTGGTAGAGCTTCAGAAAGAACTCGGTGTACTGGTAGTTCTGCGATATAATCACGCCGGGCAGCGTGCTCTCCGACTCAACGCGCTGCATGTCGGGGCAGGGACGCGGCGGAGAGCCGGTACTAGAGTCGCTCGAGGAGTCGGGACTGCTGGCCAGACCAGTGCCAACGGGCGTCAGCTTGGCCGTGAGGATCATCTTGTCGCGGATGGTGTACTGGTAGAGGGGGTTGATCTCGTCGGAGACCTCAATCATTTCGCCATTCGTGTAGAAGAGATCCACCTTGATGTTGGTCGTGGAGGTGCCCTTGATCCGCTTGAGGAGACTGCGCTTGAAGGCGGCCATGGTCTCGTTGCTGTGCGTCACAATCTCCAGGTCGTCAATTGGCCGGCCTGGGTTCTGAAAGCGGATGTAGAGGCTCGTGTTCTTGCCGCGGGTGACCCGGCTAAGGGGCAGATGGACGCGATCGCCGCTAAAGGAGCGGTCGCATTCCTTCACGTACTCCTGCAGCACCTTGAGTATGCGGCACATCTTCTCGGCCTCTATGAAGCGCATTTTCGAGTCCTTGGACTCGTCGTTGGCATTGTCCGACTGGTCGGGTGCCTCCAGCTCCTCCTGCAGCTGCGTCTTGCCCAGGATCACAATATTGCCGTAGTGGGTCCGCAGCCTGGAGCAGCACTCGCCGATGAACATCTCGTGGAACTCACCAATGTTCTCCTGCAACCGTGGCCCCAGAGCCGTGGACACCTCCTTCAGCAGGTCGATGGCCTTGCTGGCAATCTCCTCGCCCCCGGTTGTGATCACTCGCCACAGGTAGTCCTTGCCAATCAGGTCCTCGTTGTCCAGAATGTAGCCCCTGTGGATGGCCTTCAGCTTGTCCTCCTTGGAGTTGACCGCCTTGAAGAAGCGCTCAAAGCACTTGATCCCGCTTTCTGTGAGCAGGTGCGGATCCAGCTGCAGGATATTGTTCTCGAAGAAGTCCTTGTTGATGCCGGGATCCAGGTCGGGCTCCTCGCCCATCAGCTTGCCGAACCAGCGGAAGCACTCCTCGCGATCAGCCGGAAAGACGGCGCTCACCGCCAGGCAGTGCCAGATTTGCTTGGCCTGATCGGCGCACAGCCACAACTGGCCATCCTTCAGGAGGAACTTGAGGAACTCCAGTCGCTCGGCAATTTGCGCCTGATGCGGGAACCTTCCGTCAATCAGGATTGTTGCTGCCTCCAGGCCCGGTGTCTCGGCCACCATTTGGCGTACCTTTTCCATATAAGCCGTGAGGCTATTGGTGACCAGGATGACCAGCGAGTAGTCATTCTGCAGCCGCTCAATCACCTGCTGTCGATTTGTGCCCGTTTGGGTACGCGGTGCATGGTTCGGCGTGGTGTCATAGAGACAGCAGATGTCACGGATGAGGCGCAGGGCAGGCAGAACCCATCCGTCGCCCGACTTTAGCTCGCCAACGCACTTGTCCAGCCAAATTGTCTTCTGGGCATCCCGCTCCTGCGAGCAGCTGTAGTCCAGGATCTTGACGTGGGCCCCGAGCGCCTGATCGAGCACCTCCGGCGGCACCTCCTGGCTGTGGGCCAGTGTCCAGAACAGCTTCAGCACCTTCTGGGCCATCACGCCGTTCTTATCATCCTCAGCCAGCCGGCGGATGAGCTCCAAGAGCCTCTCCCTTTGCCTCTTATTAGCCGTTGTCATGCTGGCCTGGATATGGGGATACGGGATACATCGATTGGTAAAGAGCGAAAATGGGATTTTAGGAATTGAAAAGCTCACCTGGAACGCCTCGAAGAGGTGGTCCAACTGCTCTGGAGTAAAGTCCCAGGCCAGCTTGGCCAGCAGATCGTGCACGTTCTTCACAATTGCCTCGTGCTTGCCGGCCTGAGCTCTCCAAACGGCATCCAGATCGTCCAGCGTCAGCGCATGTTCCTTGATCAGGAACCGTATGATCTTCTCCAGCTTCTCCACGTACTGCGGCTGGTGCAGCGAATCCTTGAGCACGATGCCCAATACATCCGACGACTTTATCCACTGGGCCATCCGTTCGGCCGTCAGCCAGTCCATTTCATCCTCGGGCATGCAGTGCGGCAGGGGCTGGGATCGATGCGAGTAGTAGGCCACCGAGGACAGCACCTTGTTGATCTCGTTGAGGGCGTTCATCTTGCCATTGAAGCTGGACACCTGCAGCAGGCGCAGGATCATCTTTAGGCGGAACATCTCCAGGTCGCGTATTAACTCCTCCTGGCCAGTAAGACGGCTGGCCAGGAAGCGGGCGGACTTCACAATGCCGTTGATGTAGTCATTTCGCCCCTCCGGCTTCACCTCGCGCTTCAGCTCCTCGTCTGTGAAGCTGTCCAGCAAATCAAGCACAACGTTCCAGGTGGGCATAAAGTACTTCGCGATGGTAGCCGGCGTCAGCAGCTCGTAGCACTGGCCAAAGGGTCGGAGCAGGCTGTGGATGAGAGCTAGAGTGAGGCGGTTATCCTGGCCCGCACCATCACCGCTACTCTCCAGACTCTTTCCGGCGACGGAGGACTTGTTTTGATTGCGCTTCAGCAGCTCCAGACCGCTGTTAAATCGCTCCAGCAGATTGTCAAAGCCACCGAGCTGACCGAAGCGATTGATGAGATCAACTAGCCAGCCTCGAGCATTCTTTGGCTCCGGCGGCGGCCGGGCGTACATCTTGTTGCTATCCAATGGTCCCCAAATGCAGTCCGGCGTGGCGAAGCACTCTGGCTGGCGGGCCGCGTTGAAGGTGTTGAACTTGTTCTCCGGATCGAAGACAATGGCCAGCAGGTCCAGCAGATAGGGATTGTCGCGCTGCATGTGTATGGCTATCAGGTGGAGCAGCTTGCCGCAGGACACGAGGATGCAGTGGTGGATGTTATACTTCCACGAGTTCACGGCTTCGTCGGTAAGGATCTTGGCAAACGATGTGCTCAGTCCATTGCGGTAAAACTCCACGCAAGGCTCGCAGTCATGATCCACACCTGAAAAAAGGACAGAATCCAATTAGAAATTGTTTTTTAGGAATAGTTTTGGTATCAACTTGCCGGCCTGGGTCAGCTCAATGGCCGCATTGAGAAGCACCTCCAGTTCCTGTTCCGGCAGCACGGGCACCACCCACCGCGGATTGGATATCTTCTGGGTCAGCGATCTCAGTTTGGTGGTGGGAAATGAAGATATCAGCTTCTCTGGAGGCCTGTGGGAGGTAAAAAAGGGAAATATGCTTAAGCCAAAATTAAAATAAGACTATTAAAAGACCTCACTTGACCTCCTTTCAATCAAAAATACATTTTCCAACATAATATTTATAACATATAGTAATTCCATGAACATATAGTAATTCCAAAATTTTACATTTTGATAGATTAAAATATGAAAAAACGATAATTTTGAAAAAGTATCTGAACTTATTTTATTAATTTCCCTTTTTTACTGATAATTATATTACATACTCTTAATAGAATACCGATTTATCGCTTATATTTCGCCACATTAAAACATAGATCTAACCAGGACTACCTATTACGAACTCAAATGCTTCCAGTTCCTCGGGTCTCTAGTGTGAGCTAATAATGATGGACAGGACAGGCCAAGATAAGATAATAAAAGCCCTGCATGGGTATTCCAAATGAAACACTAATAGCCATGTCCCGTAAATATATTAGTATAATTGTTTGTGGTAAATTCGTTCTGGCCAATGTATGTACATTTGTGCATCTTAGAGATAAGGTTATATTGCCTCATTGTTGGGTATTATCACGTTTCTGCACACACACGTAAACCAGAGGTGTTTGTAATGGAATTTAGTGGGTTCTGGGTGACGACACCTCTCGAATTAACTTGGCCAAAATCAGCTGCTGCTGCTGCTGCCCAAAGCATATTTTAATGAATTTATTACGGGTGGATATGGGTAGGTAGTGGTAGTTGTAGACCCAGCCCTGGCCAAACAAAGAATGCAAGTGGAAGAGGGAACTGCGCAAAAGTAAACACACGGATGTCTGAGGTTGGGGTTCGTTCGGTTGGAGGTGGAAGGGTGTTCTGGACGTTTTGCTACCACTAGCAGCAGCAGTTCACACACCCCGAAAAGTTATCGACAAACAGCTGCCTGTCTGCCCTGGCTAATTAAGTGCAATAAACTACGCACTAAACCTCCGCTAATTGGGAGCCGTCATGCTAGGCTAGCAAGGATCGGAGAATGGGGATCTTCTGTTGACACGCCCCCACTTACACTAGTGTGACGGTGCTTTCCACGCTGCCCGCCGAGGACGAGGCTGTCACATCCGAACTAGCATCCGAGCTCTGGCTTGTTTGTTGCGGCGGTGTCTGTTGCTCCTGACTGCTGCTGTCCAGGCTGCCGCTGCCACTACCGCTACCGTTGCCTCCTCCTCCTCCGCCTGGCTGGCTCGATGTTGTGACTGTGCCCGTTCCTGCGCCTGTTCCCGTGCCCGTGACAGTTCCCGTGCTCTGTGCCGGACTCGTTGTGGTGGTTGCTGTAGTGCTGCTGCTGGTGGTGGTGCCCGGCTGTCCGGTGGTTTGCCTGCGCGTATCGAACGTCATTGTGGAGGCGGCGGAGTCGTCGTCGGATCCTCCTTAACTGCGTCGTCGTCTTGCGGAGCTCCGGAAAGCAAAAGGCAACGGAAGCGAAGGAAATGAAGGTGCAGGAGCGCTAGTTTTAGGTGTCTTAATAATCCTACTGCAGTCTGCACTGGGCGGCGTTTTTCTTTTTGGCTTGGTTGTGAGTCGTCTTGGATTTATGGCAGTTGTGAAAAATGTCCCAGTCCGCAATCCGTGTCCCTTTTGTCCAATTTTGCAAGATATGGGAGTTGCCAGTTGTTGTTGCTGTTGTGGTTTTTGAGGCACTGTTGGTCGGCGACTCCCGGCTCTCTCTCTCTCTCTCTCTTCCTGTCTGTCTTCTTGACTCTCTGCGTCTGGAACTCACTAGCTTATTGTCCTTTTTCCAATAAGAACGGCGCGCTGCGTTGCGTTTACATATTCCTGGTCAGCGGCCACAGTTTGCAAAAATCTATAAACTGCAACGAAGTAAAAGAAGAAGCAAAGAAGCAAATAAATACAGGCACACAAGGGAGACCGAAAAAGGCACACACACAGCAAGGGGCGAGCACGCACCAACATGCACAATAGCAGGTCGCTGTGTGAGTGAGCGCGAGTACGTGTATGGGAGAGAGAGTGCTGTGTTGGGTTGGAATATGAAAAATCAATATTATTTAATAGACGGGGGGCAGCAAACGCCAAATAATGCTCCAAAAGCACACAAATTACGCTCCCGCTCCCTCTCCTTCATACTCTCTTTCGCACAAACACACGCACGCACGCACACCCACAGCCGTGGCAAGTATGTGAATTTAATTTAATGTTGTTTTTGTTTTACGCTGCTGCTGCTCTCTTCATTCTTATTTATTTATTATTATTTTTTTGGGCAAACAAAGAACATTTTTGCTAACGAAAATTACATCACGTCGCATTCGTCTCTCTGTTTCGCTACCTCCGCTTTCTTTCTCTGTCTCTCTCTCACTCCTGTCCGCCCGGCAACATCCTTTTAAACGAAATGTCGGTCGGTGGGTGGAGCAAGTGGCAGCGCCGGTGGGATGAGAGCGAAGGGGGTGTGCGAAGAAGGGGTGGTGAAAATAACTACGCATAAAGATTTCACAAGTCCGTTTGTCCGTGTTTGTGTTTCTGGCACAGAGAGACGATACGATGCAAAAAAAGGAATGAAGATGAAGAATCATCTCCCCAGCCCCTCAGGGCCGGGTGTGGTGGTAGCGGCGGGGGCACGGGGGCCTCTCTCACTTTCTATCTATCACTTCACTTGGGAGTTGTGGGAGAGAGCTAACGGAAGTCACTCAAGGACGGGAGCCAGTGCGGCTTTTTATTATTTTTCCGTTCAGTCGTCGTTGCTCTTCTGTTTTTCACACTCACTGGCACTCACACACGGACGCACGCTCACCGACACGCTCTACTCACACGCACAGCATATATTTTATTATTTCTTTTTTGCGAATATCGAACACAACTCACCATTCCTCCTATTTCCCCGAAAATGATCTCTTCTTGCAGGCTGCTGGAGCAAAACAGACGGACGAGAATTCGGCCTCTAACTAACTCGCTCTAAACCGAAAACTAATATTTTGCGAATTTTTCTTCTCTGGCCCCTGAGCTTACACTTACACGGCCCCTCAGCCGGCCAATATAGACAAAATGGCGTCTGCTTTGGTTCTTTCCGATTTTTCGCGACCACGCAGCGGACTGTGTGACTTTCGGCCTGATACGGCCTGCTTGTTTCTATTTTGTTTGTTGCTTGTTTGCTGTGTCAATTATAGTTAAACTTATTAAATTAAATTATATTTCTTCCTAGGGTTGTGCAGTTCAGGCGAACTAGTTTTGAACTGAACTGGTTCGCGTGGTGCTTTCGGCTGTGAACATCGATTTTTGGCAACTCTACTTTTTTCCAGTGTTGTCAAATCCCGTGAGGATATCGAACTGGTTCCGCAGAATAAAATAATTAAGTTAAAAAAACTGAAAAATTAATAAACTAACAAAAATGTAGAACCCTCATTTAACTTATTTTCAGTCTCAACTGTTAGCTCTAGCGCTCTCGCGGATGTTTCGTGTATATAGTCCCAAGCCATTCATCGTTATTTTCGTTTTTAATTATAATTCACATTAATTATACACATATAGTAATATTAAATACAAATCATCAGTTTCCCGTCTCTAAAATAGTTTTTACACAATACATATTGCTACATATTGAATTTGGATGCCGCCCCTGCCCCTTCGGATGCTTCGTTCGTGCTTCAGTGTGATGGTGAGGGCATCTCATAGTCGTCGTTTGTCATCATTGTCGCGGTGATATTCCCCAGGATGCAGCCAAGTAAAAAAGGAATCGATATACCTTCGAAGAGTATAGCAAATGGTTGATGAAGGCTGTTGCTTGGATTGATCGTCCCGAATTCCTTAACTCCTCTATTCCGCTGACGTGGATGACTTGTTGCGCTCCTCCAGAAACTTCAAGCGGCGCTTCCTTAGCTCACCCAGCTCCGAGGAGTTCTCATCAAAGTCGGCCTCGGAAGTGCTCACCAGGCTAACCGTCTCCGTGGCCGTAGATGGCACATCATCCTCATCCGCGCCCAGATCCTCAATGGTTACCTTCTCTACGGCTGCTGCTGCTGTGGCATTTACCTGATGAGCCGCCGCCTCCTCCTCCAGTTGGGCCCTGGCCATGGCCGAGGTGCTGGGCTTGTCGTAAGCAGCTGAAGATCCAGGTGCTACATCTGAGCTTGGAGCTGAAGCTGGAGCTGCTGCTGCTGCTGCCGCGGTTGTCGCTGGCACTGAGTTAAGCTGCAGGCTGGCTGCCAAGCTCTGGTATTGCGACATCATTATCCCCGCCGAGTCCAGCATGAGGTTGATGTTGCGCAGCAGCTGAAAAAAATTAATTAATTTATATTTAATGGTTTGGAATGGGAAGGTAAGGGGTGTACACCCACCTTGAGGCGCTGCTCAATCTGCTCGCGCTGGTGCCCCTCCATGGCGCGCAGCTCCTCAATGGTGAACTTTGTCAGATCCTGCGGCATAGGCGGCGGCGGTAGGGGTGGCGGCGTAAAGTATACCAATTGCGGAGGCATCATGAAGGGTGGCAGCATGGGCATGACCGGCGGTGGCGGTGTCATCATGCCAGCCAAGTTGGGCAGGCCATCTATAAGAAAATTGTTATTAAGGGATTCCATACTTAGCAGCCATTGGTTACTTACTGGTATCGCCAAAAAGCTCTGCAAAACTGGGCGGCAGCGGGTTATTGCCTCGTCCTTGGTTAGCATCGCCTCCAGGAGCAACTGCAACCGGTGCAGCCGCAGCCGGCTGGGCACCTGCTGCCGCTGGAGCGGCATTTCCAGGAGCAGCAGCGGCGCCGGCGGCTGCCGCATCATCCGCAGCCCGCGGCATTGCCGTCGAATTCACAGCCGGGGTGCGAAGGATATTTAGGCGGCAAGTGGGACAGGTCTGCTGGCGCTGGAACCAAGAACGCAGGCAGGTGGTGTGGAAGATGTGGCCGCAGGGCAGCTTCTTTGAGTGATTGACCATGTCCTCGCGACAGATAATGCAGATGTTGTCCGACTGGCGCAGCTCCTCCGGCGTGGCATCCGGATATAGGGTGTTCATGTTGCGAATGGCCCGCCGCGACATAATCACATCGTTCAAAGCCTTCCGGAAGTTTCGGATGGTGAAGAACATGGGCCGGAAAACGAACATGGGCAGCGCATAGATCTTGGCCATGATCACCACAAACAGGATGTAGAGCACGACCTTGATGAGGCCAATCACCAGCTCCGTGTACAGCAGAAACACCGCCTTGTTCTCCCAGGGCGTGTCCGTGCGCATCTCGGCGGCGTGCAGCACGTACTTAATGGCCGTGCTGGCGATGACCGTCAGCAGGATGGCGTACTCGAAGCCAAAGACCAGCTGGACAGTGGGTCCGCGCACCAGCGTCGAATTGTAGGCGTGCATCAGCAGCACGTAGTCGAGGATGCCCAGCATGGTCAGCAGGCTGCCCACGCGTATATGGAACAGCCAGCCCAGCACGGGCGAACGCTCCATCTGTGAATTACAATTGGATTAAGGACCGTACGAGATTATAGGGCTTGGCACCACTTACAAAGTCCACACGCTCCTCGGCCAGCCAGTGGAATGATTTGAGGAATAGGAGCACCGTGAACAGGGCCACGAAGCGCGGATTGAAGTCATCCCGGAATACGGTGAAGGCCAGGCAGGTCTCAGTGAGGGCATACCAAAAGCGCTCCAGTAAATGCTCGAATTCGGCGGCGCGCAGCGTGCCCAAGAAGATCTGGAAGGGGCAACAAGATTAGTGACCAGTTCTCGGGGGTCAGAGAGTGGCGATGTCACCTTGCGCAGCAGCTTGGCAAACATGAGGACAATCACAAAGAACTGGATGTAGATGACCTGCAAGCAGAACTATTAGCAGGGGAAAACCTATTATACCGACGACTGGACTACCCACCCCCATGGAGGCGTTCGACTTGGTGATGTAGACGACCGCCGGGTAGAACTGCTGCTTCTGGTAGTAGGCATACCCGATCACGGCGCTGGTCAGCGCCATGCACACGGACGAGATGAGCAGCTGCATGATGCAGCTCCTGGTGGCCAGCGCCGCCAGCTGGCTGATGGACTCGAGGAAGATGTTAATGTTGGCCGGGCGCTCTCTCTTGCCCCTAGTCCACTACATATATGACCCCTTTTGACGGGGGTGCGGGATGTTCTTTGCAGTTTCGTTGCAGATCCCAGTTTCCTTCGGTTTTCCTCCAGAAAAAATCTCTGCTATTCGGGGCGCTCGGTAGCTGCTTCTTGCCTTCTTCCCTCGTCTGACGCACGAATTTCGCCAAGTCAGTGTCTTTGTTGCTTAGCCGAAAGTTGTTTGCGTTGCCTGCTAGATTTGTCCCAGGCCAAGTCGCAGGCCTTTGGCTCACAGGCGTTTTCAATATTTTTATTCTTAATAATTACACGTAGTACTACCTACGAGCCAGGGTTGTCACCGTACCGCAACTGGTCACTCGGTGGAGTTGCCACTCTTTGCAAAAGTGGGTTGTTGATATTTTTCCGTGTGAAAAGTATGCAGCCACCTGCAAAACGGGCGTCTGGCAACTCTGACCACCTGCAGCCAGGCGGTCTGGCAACCATTTTAAAAGTCATCGTTAAATTTTAAATGTTGGTCTGAATTTTCCAAGTATTTTTGTAATGAGTTCTTTCAAAGGGAGGTTTTGCAATTCATCTATTTGCATGGTCCTGGTGAAGACATCATTCCCCGGCATTGCCCAGGACTTCCAGACCAGAATAGCCAGTAGAATAGTGGCGGTGCTACGTCAACGAGAAGTACACGCCAAAAATTGCCTTATCGCCAGGCAACTCGCTTGTTTTAAAATTCTAGAATTGCAAACGCGAAAGTGCGTGTAAATATGTATATGTATGTACATATTACCCCAAAGAATAATATAAAATAACGTTTCTCGATAAGAGAAGCCATTACAAACTAATAAGCACATGGAGTCCAATGGATATCCCTAGGGACTGCTAATATGATAAGAAATTTGTCAAAAATCATAAAAAGCTATATTAGGTCGCATACCAAGCAAAAAGTTAATCAGTCAATAATTATTATTCGCTAACTCTGTTCTAAGGCATAATGCAGCTCCATTATATATTTTTTAGTACAATTTTTAAGGTTATTATCCTGGCAACAACGAAAGCGGATATTCCTGGATGCCACTTCTGGGAAACTGTGAATGTGTCTTCCAGTCAGAGCCTTCAAAATAGCTCTTACTTGTACCCGGAACGTGTAGTTCCTCTCAACTTAATCGGCGAATATAATAACAAGACAACCAAGCTTGGATATTATGATAACACGGAAACCCACTTACGACGATGTGTCTGCCACCTAAAGCCTTGCTTATGGATCTGTTGTCGCTTTAAAGATTGGGATGCATCCAATGGCAAATGCACCGATGGCCTGATGGAAGAGCTCGTTCGGAATAATCCCTTCCTGAATGTGACACTCAGCAACGGAACCGTGGTAAAAAGGAACTTGATAAAAGATTTTATCGTCTTGAGGGATCGAATGCGGGTCAACGAAGGTTGGAAAGAGGATGAATATATATTGTTTGAGGTTTGTCGTTTTTTTCGGTTCTCGTTTTCCTGACTAACTTATATCCCTTAGAACGGGACTGTATTCCTCAGGAGCAACATATACATAGACCTGAGCAGTGGATATAACTGTCTTCATCCGAATCAGTTCAGTTCAGACAATAGGGAGGTCTTGGTAGTTGCTTTCCATGACAACTTTTTTAATATGTGGAGAATGTCACCAGGAGCGAGTGAGCGTAAGAAAAATTCCTAAATACACTCATACAAATTTTAAAGTAAGACCGCCCTAAAAAAGGAATTTTTTTTGCCCGAATATTTCGAAATTCTCTCTCTCCCAAAATCAGGAAAGAAACTTTCTCAAATGTAGCCTAGAATTAAATAAAACTCGAATTTTTTTTATCTCTTTGCAGTCATTTGGGTTTCGGAAGTGTTCTTGATTCTCACAATTACAGTGTATTTCTTCGTAAAGAAGCTGCGGAATCTGCATGGGAAGTGCTTCATCTGTTACATGATTGCTTCGTTTATATTTTTCATCCATCTGGTGATGGAACCTGATGAAGTACCTTTGCAATTATGTGCCCTATATGGTAAGTTTAATTTTTAATACTTACTATTAATATTATATTTTATTCTAAATACTATTTTGAGACGTTTATCCAGATTGGTTAAAACTGTTATTGCTATGTTGGTCTATATTGTTTGGAAAAATCATTATAAATGCACCCAAAAAATTGTTTAACCAGATCCCTCAGTTGTCTTTTCGTTCTTTTTATACCCTTGCAGGGTATTATAATTTCAGTCAGAAGTTTGCAACGCAGTGAAGGAGACCTTTCCGACCCTATAAAGTATATATGTTCTTGATCAGCACCAAAAAATTAATTAATTAATACAACTTTTATATATTTCCTTATATTTCTTTTCTATTGATTTAACCAGAATGATCCAATTGCAAACTGCAAGGGTATACAAACTTTATTCAAATTCCAGCCTACTCTTCGTACTTCTCCTGGACGGCCAAACTCACTTGGCTCTTGACCCTGAGCCACCAGATGTGGAAGAGCTTTACATCGCTTAATCGAGCGGAATCCCAACATAGCTTTAGGGCCTACAGCGTCTTTGCCTGGGGAACGGCTGCTCTCCTAACGGGAACCGTTTTTCTGATCGATTCTTTATGGAATGGCATGCCCAGCAATGTGAACTGGGTACCCGGTATTGGTTGGCAAAATTGTGATGTAAAGGGTAAGGTTCTATTAAAGCCAAGATTACGAGCACAAAGAATCAACAAAATTAATTTTCCCTATTCACAGACGGATGGAGTTATCAGGCATACATTCATTTTCCATTTGATACACTAATAGCATTAAACACGGTACTTCTTATATGGTCGACCATCAGCATTATAAAAGTAAAACTCTCTCTAAAGTATTTCTCCGACCGTGGAGATACGGCAAGGAACCTTAGCTCAAGAATACAGACGTAAGATATGCTGACCGATTGTAGTTTTTTTTAGAATTTGTTTATGATTCTGAATAACCCAATCACAGATATACCATGTATGTAAGACTCTTCATCGTTATGGACATACAGTGGAGCCTGCGCCTAATTTCTTACTATGCAAAATGGTACAATCTTTTGGATGTATGTAAATATTTTAATTATTGCATCGGCATCATTATTTTCGTGTTGTTTATCCTGAAGCCCAGCACGATTCGCCTTCTTATAGAAAGGTTAGTTTCCATGATCATGGCAGTATTCGGATAACTCAATTTTCCTTTAAACAGTATTAGCAATAGGAGCCAATAACTGAAAAATGGAGCTAGAACAAAAGGAAGCGTTTTTCAAAAGAAAATAAATAATACCATTTTAACCTTAAAGGTCTTATACCCACTGTAGACGATATTGTTTGGTTAAATAAATATAACCCAAATTCCTATAATTTTTCAGGTTACCATCTTGTTAACACTGGAAAAACTGACATGAATTGTTAAGAAGATCTTTGCAACATGAATTCGTTTAGTTAAACCCGTGTCGGAACACCTACATACATACGCACTCCTGCTTACCTGCCTCCCCTTCTCCACATGAAACTCTCTTCATTGGCTTTGCCATGGCCAACTCGTGTTGGTTAAGACCTCTCCACACAAACAGCAAACCTAATTAACTCATTTAGACCTCCTCGTAAAACCATTTATATATTTTTTGTGCTTTGCCACTTTACGCATTTGGCAAAGGAAAAAATATAAACAAAAAACCAAGAAAAATATGGTAACAAAATGAGGCACACAAGGGGGCATCGCCATGGCCAGAAAGCAGATGAGTGTTGGCCGTGCCAAATCGTGGCATAATTAAGGTGGCCAAATGAGCTGCTGCTGCTCGGCACGGCTCCGATTTCGATCGGATCTTCGATCTGCTGCGATTATTGGCAGTGTGAACTTTTACTTTCGGTCGAGAATGGATCCACCACATGGCGAGTGGATCTGGAATGTTGCACAAGCAAGGCCCCCATGGAGCAGCTGAGGATGCAGCCCAGCTTGTTTGCATAAGCCCGCCGATTGGTTAGCACCCAAAGGCTAAAGTTGGCCGGCAGAATGGCCGGCATGGATGTGTCTTTTTTTGCGGAAAACAAACTTGGACACAGTCGCGCAGACATCGACACCACAGACCAGCAGACCTCCACAGGCACCCCCCGACCAGACCGGTCGTCGGTCACAGATCCCCCGGCAGACTTTTGGCGAAAACGTGTCGCAGCAATTTCCCATTCAACGCTAGCTTTTTCAAGAGTGTGTCTGTCTTATATTTCTGCTGCCGCCGCTGCTGCCCATTTTTCTTGGTTCATCTGCCCACTGCAAGCTCCCAACTCCCAGCTCCCTGCTCTCCAACTCCATTGGCTTGACTTACATAAAGCGGGGAGCACCTACCTCGTCGGACTCGCACGCTGAAAACCCGTTTTTGTCGGCTTCGAGGAAACGACAGAGGCGTCAGAGGCTTGGCCAGGCGGAGTAGCGGAGGTGTAGAGGCATCATTGATGATCATCAGGCCCGGCTCGGCTGTATGAGGTTGTTGTTTGGCTATTACTGGTGCGAGTACTCCGTAGACTCCATGAACATACAGAGGGAATAATGTGTAAAGTTATGGAAATTAAAAGAATTATCTCATATTAATTTATAGTTTAGATTTAATTGGATTGGGACAGGTAAAAGAGGAAGGACATTTTTGTTTATAATATTTTTAAAGTAATACTTTTAGTTCATAATTAATCTTAAAAATCTGAAAAACCATTTATAAATCCTATAATATTTTTTTAACTGTAATATTACTATTACTACCTATTGCTACTGCTGCTAGGGGTCTCGGTGTCTTGGTGGCTCTTCTGCGTTGGCGCCTTATGTAACCTGCCGCTCCAAGACTCAGCTCGGAGACAGAGGCATAAAGATGATGTGTAGAGAATGAGCCACCGACCAGGCCGAGCCTATGCACCCAGGGCACCAGACATTTCAGCGGACTCATCTTCATCAGCGGAGCGGCGGCAATTATTACTACTTTGTGGCATTCTCCCTCTGTCATCAATAGGCCCGGAATAATCAGCTTTTTGTCACAGCTCCTAGCCTAGCCTCGTCTGGGGCTGTGAAAAATTGCCCCCTCTTTATCATCAATCATGATGTGAGCATTTCGGCGTAGATTAGCATGATGCACCTGAGAGGAGGTCTGGTCTAAAAAAAAAGAAGGTTGCTAATGTTGCGTATACGCCATGATAACCGCTGCCCCGGGGGTATGAGTTTTTTTTTCTGAGAAGCCACTATCGTTGTTTAGTTTAAAGAAAAGGCTAGTTAACGCAGCTGTATTTTTTATTAAAAAATATTTAAAATTAAATTTCCAAACTGTATTTAAAGCTCAAAGAACTGGCAAACAAGCC